GAAAGCTTCGGGAGGAGGGGGTTGCAACAAAGTAACAGCTGCAGAAACCAACTGAAAACTTCGTATGCATGTTCCTGCAATGAAAGAATTAAAGGTAAAGCGAAGGGGTTAAAGCATGCACGAAATGGAACGTATATAAGCTTTTAGCAACTGCCTCCTTGAGGCATGAAAGGGTTAAAAGGGACCAGCTTTGAGCAAAGAAAGGTGTTCAGGGCAGTGTACAGTGTTGCCATTAAAGGGTTAATCCCCAACAACTGTGGAAGGGAAAAAAACCCACTTGACTTGTGCAGTCAAAGGGTTAAAATGAAAAAAAAAACCCAAAAACAATTGAACATTAGAGTTTAAGAAGTTTTTCCTTTTAGAAAAAGGTTAAATAAAATTAAAAAAAAAAAAACATTTAAGAAAATGAGATTTTTTTAAAATACAACTTTTTTTTTGGCTTTTTGCTCTTTTGCGGACCAGAGCTCCAGACGTGTGACACTCCAACGTCCTCCGATGAAAGGGTTAAAGGAGACAGGGCTGTGGTGCCTCTTAGAGACTTTGCTCTGGGCTTTTTTAGACAGTTTTGCAAAGAAAAAGGTTAAAAAAGTCACAACCATGAATGCAAAACTCCCCAAAAAAACCCAAACCTAACTCACTGAGGATGTTTTTTGAGTTTCATTGCTAGGGACTGACGGGGTTAAACTGGTCAAAACTCTCATAAAAGGGACACGTTTACATATAATATGTAACAAAAGGGTTAAATGAGCCGCAAGAAGTGCGAGGCTTGTGCAGCAAAAGGGTTAAGGAAGTCCTGACATCATACACAGGTCTTGATATGCACATCTCTGGTTGCAGCACCGTGTGCAGAGACGCGCATTCTTGCATGCGTTGACGCAGCCACCGAAACGCTTGTCACTTAGGCCCTGTTCACACCAGGGCGGTTCGGTCGTGTGGATGTTTCCCCGCTGAACCGCCAACAGTAAAAAAAACACATTTATTCATACGGGGCCCGTTCTCGCCTGCCGCCCAAACTGCTCCCTGGGCTACTTTTTCAGCTATATAGATTTCAATGGAAACGCACTGATCAGCGCATTTTTGGGCATTTTTAGTTGCGCTGATTAAAAATGCCTAAAAACGCCCCTTAACAAATCTCTCTGGACCGCTGCTGCCCTGGTGTGAATGGGGCCTTAGTAAGACGCACTGCGGTGCCAATCCATGTTAATGACACCCCATCGCGCCTTGCTGCACAAGGCACATTCACGCACGTGAATAAGCACGAGAACGCACGGTAACAAGGTTTCAAGCGCTTCGGTGCGTCACATTTTGAAACAAAAGGTACGACTGTCATGCGTAGGGCAGATGTTCATAAATCCTGTAGCACTCCTTACCGGAAATCCCAAACTGTTGATGGGTGCTCGAAATGACCGCGGATGGCGCAGCGCACAGTAAAACTTTAGAGTTAACGTTTTTGTCTGCTCTGAGCCTGATGAAGGGGACCCCGTGCGCCCCCGAAACAACTTGATATTCTGAGTGGCATCTATCAATAAATGGATTTGCACTGACTTGGATTCTGTCGTGCTGGTGCGCTGAGGACATCTCTATCTAAAGTGTCATGCGTGGGGCAGCACATTGAAATAAATGGACTTCCGTGTATGTGACGCACAAAAACGCACATACACGCACCTGTCGCACCTGCACAAGCGTGAACGGAGCCTCAGGCAGTGACGGGGTTAAAACTCTCATTGTAAGGAAACTTTTAAATATAATACAAATATTAATTGTTCATGGAGGGAAAGGCCTCATTCGCACGAGGAACGGCCGCCGCGTACAGATCCGTGCTGCGTGCACGGCCGTATCGGGCAGCTCCCGGGAAGGATGGGTGCTGCGTGTGATTAGTACCCAGCCCCCGTCCTTCTCTATGGGAGTACGCGGCCCTACACTCATCTCAAGTGCAGGTCCGTGCAGGTGCGGGTGTCCCGGTTCGGACGCAGACAGGATCCATCCTGTCAGGGTACGAGTAAGGACACCGGCACCCGCACGGACATGCAGGGCGTGTGAGCGTACGGCCGCGTATTCCAATAGAGAAGGACAGGGCAGGGGGGGTCCCGAGGCTGGGTGACACCCGGAGCGGTGTCCGAGTGTCACCCCGCCGAGACATCACCGCGCATGCGCGTGTTTTTTTTCGAGACGTCGCTGCGCATGCGCGTGACATCACCACGCGCGTGCACGATTACGTTATCGCGTATGCGAGGCAGTATTCTGATACCTGCCGGCGGCCATCTTGGTGATGTACGCCGGCAGAGAGGGGAGGGGACAGTCACCCGGCGGGATAAGGTATGCCGCCGGGTCCCCTCCTCTCTCCTGATACTGTCGGGCGTTCGGTCCATGACCGAGCGCCCGGCTTTTTCAGAGGGGGGTGACACCAAAATGACTGTAAGTCATTTTGGTGTCACCCCTCCAATGGTGTCACCCGGGTGCGGGCTGCACCCCCCTTGTGACGCCACTGGGACAAGGGCTGCGTACTAATCACACGCAGCACCTGTCCTTCCCGGGAGCTGCCCGATATGTCTGTGCACGCAGCACGGAGCCGTACGTGCACGGCCTAATGGCACCCGAGTCACACGGGGCAGATTGTGGGGTTTCCCACCGCGATTCCACCCGTGCATCCGAACACGGCCGCACGTTGTGCATCACAAAAAAAGGTACATGCATCTTTTTTCTGCGATTGCCGCGCGGATGTACCCCATTGAAATCAATTGCCCCATTGCCTGCCATTGTGCACGATCCCGGGACGCGCATCCCGGATCGCTTTCAGGTCTGCACCGGGCCTAAATCATGATTTATATCGCGCCATCAGTTTGCGCAACGCTTCACAATATAAAGGGAGAGAGAACAGTGATACAAATACAGGGAAACAATTCCATACAGGAGGGTTAGGACAGGCTTGCTCATAAGACCTTACAATCTAACGGGGAGGGGCTAGTGATAGAAATACAGGGATACGATTAAAAAAAGGATTCAGGGACACAATTCCAAGTTAAGAAAGTCTTGATTATAAGCGCTTACTATCTAAAAGGGGAGGAGCAAGTGATACAATTACAGAGATACAATTAAAACAAGATACAGGGATACAATTCCATACAAGAGGGTTAGGACTGTCTTGCTCATAAGACCTTACAATCGAAAGGGGAGGGGCAAGTGATACAATTACAGAGATACAATTGAAGCAAGATACAGGAATACAATTCCATATAACAGGGTAAGGAGGGCTTTGCTCATAAGAGCTTACAATCTAAAGGGGAGGGGCAAGTGATACAATTACAGAGATACAATTAAAACAAGATACAGGGATACAATTCCATACAAGAGGGTTAGGACTGTCTTGCTCATAAGACCTTACAATCGAAAGGGGAGGGGCAAGTGATACAATTACAGAGATACAATTGAAGCAAGATACAGGAATACAATTCCATATAACAGGGTAAGGAGGGCTTTGCTCATAAGAGCTTACAGTCTAAAGGGGAGGGGCAAGTGATACAATTACAGAGATACAATTAAAACAAGATACAGGGATACAATTCCATACAAGAGGGTTAGGAGGGTTTTGCTCATAAGAGCTTACAATCTAAAGGGGAGGGGCAAGTGATACAAATGGTGATACGTGTATGGGGAGGAGATGTAATAGAACCACAACATGTGACTTTGTAAAACGAAAGCTCGACGTTATTCCCATCGGGTTGAACTGGTCCAGTCAGTGTGTCAGAGGAGAGCAGCAAGCTCAGGGCTGACACAGCTGTGATTTGTGTGATTCAGCACCGCTGCAAGCTGCTGCATTGTGTGTCAGCCTGACATTGTGCAATCTTGTAGCCTGGCATCCATTACAGTGTCACATGGGGGGATAAAGTGGACCTGTCAGGATGGAGGACTAAAGAGTTATCAGCAGGGTGACCAGTGAAAGGCATGCTGGGACTTACAGTTCTCTAATTTCTGGTTACCCATGTGACCGGCCTGACCTCCTGCTGGCTGGAGGTTTTATTTTATAATGGAGGAATAGATTTGTGTTTGTACTGCTAACCAAACATCATTTTTGCTTTCCGTTAGAGTAGGAGAAGGATTGTAACGTCTGTTGGATGACTTCTTCTGTGTCCCCGTTGGGCAGATTTAAGCTCACTTCCTGTCTTGGTGACAATGAATAAGTACAGTGAGGGCCCCCTCACACTGTTAGCATGCGCCTTGTATGAGGAACGTTGCCATTCATTGCATTTGCACACCATATATATGCACGACCCAACTCTAAGGCGCCTGCCTACAGCACACAGCGAGCGCTACAAAACAAATAAGGGCAAGAAGGGGTTAAAAATAGTCACCGGTCCAGATTATGGGCGCTGGGAA